CTTGGTTGTGGATGAACTGAAGCCAAATTTGTGATGTGTCATTTTCAAAATGTATCACACATGTGTGATCAAAATGTATCACACATGTGTGATTTCAAAATGTATCACACATGTGTGACATCAACACATGTGTGATTGATGTCATATATAAAGGAGCTCTCCTTTATTATGTTTTCTCTGTGGTGCTAATTTTGTTCAACTGATGAAAATATTAAGTTCGATACTAGCAGAGCTCACACACTTGGCACGAATGATTTTGGTTATGGTGCATATTGATGCGCGCATGGACAAAGGAGTGTGCAATGGCAAGTTTGTGCAATTCTCTGATTTTTTTCAAGTGCAGATAGGTCAATGTGTACATGGACATTGAGTTTGTGCAATTCTTTGACTTGTTATTTTCAAGTTGGTGATTTTGAGAAACGTGCGAAGCAGTGTGCACTTTCCCAGTTTGTCACTAAGGGTGTGGGCTCTCCTAGGATTATACCAAAATATTAATTTATCAAAATGAAAGAATGCTGGAGTATTCGGTATTTTTATTTTTGCTCTGTTTAAGGAAATTGACCTCTTATTAACATAATAAAAAATAATGAACTTTTTTTATTATATGGCAATTAAAAGGTAAATTTTTCAGCAAATATAGGCTTAATTTTGATTGTTATAATTTTTATGCATATAAAACATTCTATTTATTACTATAATTAAAGCATCTAGGTATGTATTTTCTTTTTAACCTGAAAGAGAAACATGCCAATGCAACATTTTAATTTATCTCTTCCCTGCTCCCTCCCAAAGCCCTTAATTTTATATAAGGCTTTATAAGTTTTGAGAGCCTGATTGCTCTTCAAGACAACAGAGTTTTATTCAAAATGTATGATAAACTAAGGTTGCTATTTCGCCTAATTTTAAATATTTTTTTGTTTGCATTTCATAGTTTAAAAACTATTAGGAGAATGCACATAAGTTTCAACTAATGTTATTTTATCACTTTAGGAGAATGTGCGTAAGTTTCAACTAATGTTATTTTATCACTTTAGTATAACTATTATTAAAAATAATGACAATGATTTTTAACATTTTATTTTTCAGTAAGGTATTAGAAAATACCATTTAATATTTCATAAGTAATTTTGTAATTTATTTTTAAATTAAATAAAATGTAAGATTAATCAAATATATTTGCTGTATTTGCAGAAATTAGATATCATTCCTGCCATATGAACATGAAGTTGTCAAAAATATAATATTGGATTGCATATTAAATGTTATTCAGCATGCCGTAAAAACAGTATTTCTTGTAATATCCTATAAAATACGATGTGTTGTAACATGTCAAGTCTTTCTTCTGCTGAACTAATATAAATTTTTAGCTTTGATTTTATCAATTTTCACCCTCTTTTAGCAGTTATTTCTCCATAGTAGTAGATGGTCTTTTGTTATCAGGCAGTTATCAACTGTCTCGGTGCAGAAGGGATGCAATCATGGTTACAATCCGGGCTCAATTGCAGTGACCAGTCACTTCTTCCAGTAGTGCATAAAAACTGGGTTGCAAGTAACTTAACAATCATACCAAAAAACATATCCAGATATTCGCAGAAAGTGTGCAGATGTACTTTGACGATACAAAATGTGACCTTTATGTAGCAGATATATCTATGGCATCACATTTCCCAACCTTATTAGCAGATTGCACCATGAGACAGCAGCACAGAGTTAACTAACATTGCATCTGCTACACATCTATCAATGTAAAATGTACTTCTGTTCTAAGAGGGGTAAATGCCTTATTTGCTACTTTTCTTTACAGACTTCCATGGGGAGCAAGTTTATTACATAATCATTCTTAAGAGTGAAATTAATTTATCATAAAATAGCCTGGATTCTTTTTCTTAAAATATGGTAGCTCTAATTTTTGGTGACAGTGGCTAAATTTTTATTTCTCATTGTTTGGGGAATTTGTTGTTGAAAAAGAAAGCTAGTGTGAAAACTAAAAATGTATTCATGCCTTATGTTTAATGTTAATTCTTAAGAAAGACTGAATTTTTCTTATTTTTAATGATCAGATCAGCATTGCGTGTTTCATTTATTATTCTCTTGTGTGTTTTACATTGATATAATTAAATTCCATTTGCTAAAAAGCATCCAAATAGCTTTTGTTTTGATTCTGGGATGATTTACATACAGTGCAAGTCCTTTTCTAAAAAACGTATTACTAGCTTGAATGAAACTTTACTTCTTTTTTCTGCTAAACCACAAACAAATTTACTGCACCCATATACACTGCTGTTGTGAAATATCTAGAATCACATTCATACTTTGAATGCCATGTTCTGCAGGTGATCAGTACTACAGTTTATATTCAGGCAATCTGTAATGGAATTTATTCTTTCCTCGTTCCAACATAACAGTGGAATATTTCTAATTTCCCAACAAATGTTGTTTTTTAACTCTGCAGTTATCTTTTCAGATGTAAGTAGGGTTGCCACCTCTTGGCTGTCAAAATCCGGGAGAGGGGGGGGGAATATCAATTTTCATAACTTTTTATTTTAAACTTGTATTTTGCATTTGATCGTATGGATTTCAAAATATCTGGTCTGGAACTAACAAATTTTAAAAACTCTTTGCAGTCCATTTTAAAATTAAGAACATTAGGATTTCTGCCTTGACATGTTCTTCATTTAAACAGTTTCTTTCGCTTTCTTTTCTAGTTTGTATATTGAATGCTATACTTAAAATACACTCGCAGGCAGCATTTGATACAGGTATAGACAAAACGAATGAAACTATTTTCTTCAACATATCTCCAGCTCAAAGTTGTCTTTTTTCATAAGCCAATTAAATTGAGTTAACCAGTTGTCTTGAAACAACGTTGAATTTGTCTTTTTTGTGGCACTTGTTCACTTGCTGAATCAGAATTGTTTTTGTCACTAGACATTTATATGAAAGCATTTAAATAATTTCAAAATACGCACTTGTTCGTAGATAGCTAGCTAACTGCAGACTAAAATGAAAAAATGGTTTGAAAATGAGAGGGTGGAGGGGGTGTGCACATGACATCCGGCTCCACTACTTATCAGCAAGGTGCTTACTCACCACTCACCATAGATCGCTATTGCAAAGAAATATGTATAGACATTCTTTGACTGTTGTGCGCGGTCTTGTGATTTTCGATGCTGTCAACCATTTCGTCCGTACGCATTGTATCATTATTTTCAGGAAACTTGATATTCCGGGAGAGTAATATTTATTTTAAATTCCTTCCGGGAGTCAGGAGATTTTAATTTTCAGGGCTCAATTCCGGGAGAGGTGGCAACCCTAGATGTAAGGCATGATTTGAAAAGTCAGTGCATTGCTTTCATTGAAATTCTTGCATAGTGAGACATAGTGTCATGTTTCTCAAACCCAAAAGACTTATCTGGATGGATGCATGTAAGTTTAGATGCATAATATAAGTTTCATACTGACATTTTTATGGTATATTGCAGGGTGTACTTGACACTACACAGAACTATACTACTTCAGAAATATAAAGGTTACTTTTTCTAAATGAAGAGACCACTCATCACACTTATTTCCCTGAACTGTGTCTTATCTGTAGGATATTAGAATTCGTTTTCGTTAACAGACAGTGACATATCTTCAGAGACGCTAAAAGGGATATGGGAAAATTACTAAAGTATATTTTCTGCTTTGCTCTGTATAATCTCAGATTTTGAGGTTGCTAGATATCAGGAAATTAATAAAGCCAGTAAGTTTCAAAGACATCTATCTGAAAATATTACCTGTAGTAGAAATCAAATAACAATTTTAGACTAAATTTAATATAAGAGTGGTTAATTTACATGAATATATAAAAGAAATATAAAAAATTCCTATTTTGAAATAAGGCTGTAGGTTGCCCAGGAGATTTAAAACTAAAATCTTTGAAGATGGTATTCTGTCCACTGAAGAAAGTTTCATTATAACATTTTGTGTTCCAAGATATAAACAGAAGTTTCAAGATTCTTAGTATTCTTGAGGAAACTACAAATATTTCACAGGATTTCACATATTTCGCACTGAAGATTGTATTAAAGAATGTCTTAAAAAGTAGAAAACGTTGTGTTAGAAAATGTGCTAAGAAATAGAGACAACACACAGACTTCCGTATTTCAATCTTCAGCATTCATAAAATATGTGAGTATAGTGACTAAGGAATTTTTTGAAGTTATAAAAAATTGAGGTAATAATGTTGTGATAGAGGAATGTATGGCAGTTAAAAACATCTGTGTAGCTGGGAGATTTATGACTTTCATTCAAATTGTTGATAATTAAAGTATTATTGTCATATTGTTGATAATTAAAGCTTTCATTCATATTGTTGATAATTAAAGTATTTTAAGAAAGTACGTAGAATATCGGAAAAGTGAAGAACAGGAAGGTGTAACATCATGAAATCAAAATCTCTCCAGAAACTTTAAAACACCAATTGTACCAAGTATCATTAAAATGTCCATTATGGAACAGGACTCGGTTTGATTAGCAAGTTTATTAATTAGTAGTTCAGACAAGAAAAATGTGTCAAGCTCTTTTAGCAGATAATATCAAATAAATAAGTTTGGTTTTTTTAACATTATTTGATTTTTTTTTTAACTTTTTGAATTTAACTTTATGTATCATAATAATTTATAAAATAAAATATGTATTATATTATATTTTTATGCATTTCATTAAAGTCCTATTATGCTATTATGGTATACCTGGATTTAAGCACAAAATCTTTAGCCCTATGGGTGTTCTTTAGTGGAAAGTAATACTGTAGTATTTAAAAATAAAGTACTGTAATGCTTGAAGAAAATACTGTGTTCTAATTTATGTTTGCACATATTTAATGAACAAAAAAGTTTTTTTTTAAATCATAATTTGTTGCCTTTGACCTTTTTACTTCGTTAATCTGATTTGTACATTATTAAGAACAATTTTCCAAAAATATTAATTAATCAGTTTTCCCCCCTATTCTTTAGGTCTTCGTAAAAAGGTCAGTGTGAATGAAAGGGAAGATTCCTTATTAAATTCATTTCGGAATTTCTCACCTATTTTAGCTGATGAATATTTCCGAGCAGTTGAAACTGGTAAATTGAATTTCCATTTAACTTGTCTGTTGAAAGTTGTCTAATGAACTATATATGTTGTCTATTAAATTTGAAGCTATTTTTGTGTATGTAAAATATGATTTATAACTTGCTTAAACTACATTTTATTTACATATTGAATGTCTAGAATAAGGTTTGCACCAAATGTTATAGCTTAATTTCAGTGAATAGTATATTGGCTTCCATAAGACTTTTATCCCATATCTTAAATGTCTCTTGTCACTATTATTGGCCATGTCATGTTGTTTATTGTGTGGTTTATAGTTACAGGGGCTGGATAACAAAACAGAAAAACTTGTATGTATTGTATATTTCAGAGGTGAAGAACTTTTTTCCCATGAGAGGCCATAAAGGAGGCCGCATAAGTTGATATAAGTTGATTTTGTGAAATTATTATACTTTTTGTATAGTTTTATCACTTTATGCATTACATAGAAATAAGGCTAAAAACATTAAGTCATTTATTAAAATAAAAATTTACAATATAAAATATTTTTGTATTCATGTGAGGTTAATAACTTATTATAACATTAATTTTTAATATTTTTAATAAACAACTACATATATTTAAATGCTGTTTCAAATAAAAGTAATAAAGTAGAAGTAGTTTTCAATAAATTTATTGAGTTAGAAAGAAAAACAATAGAAAAGTAGTAGTATTATGTTATAAAAAACCAACATAGCAACAATACGTAAGATAATGTTAAATTTCAATGGAAAATTTAATTTAGTGGGATATTTGCATTTGCTTCTTGCCTGAAAGTAATTGAATATTTGGATCAAGCTTTGTAACCCACAGGCCTTAGTAGATCCTTTAAATAAGAATCTGTAATTTGCATTCTTAAACTAGTTTTAATTTTTTGTCATGAGAAAAAATGTTGACTCACAGCAGTAAGTACTTTCAAAGCAGGAAAATAAATGGTGTGCATGAAGCCCACCATAAAATTAATTGTAATAATTGGAAAATAATTTGTAGGCATGGATATTCAACAGAATTTTTCAAATGTTTCGAATGTTTTATTTTTATATTTTTTTTCTAACCCCAGGAAGTATCCTGCAAGTATATCCGAGAAAAAGAGCAATGTTTTGAAAAATGTTAATTTTTTCGAAACGCTTGGATCTTTTGGCACATTTTATATATTTGCTTCATTTTACCTTGCAGCCAGATATTTAATTTTTTTGTCATGATATCAAACAAAAATGCAGTGTTTCTGCAAAATGCTTCATCTGATAGATCTCATAGTTTTCCTCGTTCTTGATAAAAGTTAAAAATTTGCCATCGAAATGTTAAAAATTTAATCAAGATCTGTCCTATCCATAGCCAGCGAACCTTGCAGTAGTATGATAGGTCAACACTGTATGTTTCCTTGTCTAAATTTAGCATCTGCCAGAATTCATGATGACATATTGCATTTTCACAAATATAATTGAGAATCGAAATATTTCTATCCAGAGCGTGATGTAAAATGCAGTGAAATGCTATCAATTTTTTCAAGTTTTCCTTTTTTAATAAAGCAAAAAATTCTTCTTTTTTAGCTCTCAAAGGCACTGACTAAATTACTTAAAATTAATTGTAACCGATGGCATATTTCTTTGAAGTTTTCAAAAATACCAACTCTATGAGTTCTTTCAGTTAGTGTACCCCGCACAAGAAGTTGTTTGTAACACTGAAAATCTTTAGTTATAGCACAAATAAAATCTAAAAGTTGCGCCGAGTCAGTTTTATCAAACCTTTCATCTAAAGCAATTGAAAAATAAACATTTTGCTCTGTTACATTCTCAGTTAATTCGTGCTACCAATCTGTTATAGTTCTTTTTGAAAGAAGCAATTATTTGTATTTATCACCTTTTTCTGGAACATACCTAAGGTTTCAACAATGCATTGTTTATTTATTTCAATATCACTAAATGGTATGCCTCTTTTTTTTTAGTATATGTGCTATTTTATAAGTTTAAACAAATTTAAATTTTAACAAACATGTATATACGTAAAAAAGCAAATTTAAAGTTAAAAAAAATGTGCAAGCAATAAGATTTAATTTTCGAACTAATCTACAAATATTTATTCGATAGCATAAGCAAATCAGTGCAAACTAACCAGAAAAAAATTCACAATTTGCAATAAAATAATCTAAAAAATTAATTTTTTTTTTTTTAAATGCATAAGTGAATGACTGTTGAGCAGGCAGGAGACTGACTAATCAAGTGGAAATTTCCTCCAAACCTACGTCTACAATCATTCAATTCGTGTTTCGTCCTTCATGAAGGCAAGTGTAAAATTAAAAATCAAAAGTAAATACATAGTGAAGAATGTCCAAAAAGAAATACCAATAAAGTGGTACCTTAAGAAATTAGTAATTAAAATAAAAGTCTAAAAGGAAAATACCAATGAGCCTTTGAGAAAAAGTAATGTAAGTCAGTTAATTAACTTTTAAAAAAATTAACTTTTAAAAAATTTATTTTCAGAAAAATTATTAAACATCATTTTAGAACCCTTGGACAAAACTCCCCTACACAATTCGTCAATAAAAGAAAAAAGGAACTAGAATAATTTATATAAACCAATAAGAACAAAAGGAACTAATTCATAATTAAAAAAAAAAAATATATAGTTAAAAATATAATTTCATATTTTAGAAAATACTTAAATACTACATAAAAAATATTTAAAAAATACTTAAAGCAAGTAAATAGTAAGTTTTAATTCTAACTTACCTAGTATATTAGCGTTGGAGCCTGCAAAAGTTTAAATATTTATGTATATGAGTATACATAAATATTTATGTTCTTTATGAGTTAAATAATGTGTATTCAGTGTTTTCAAAGTAGTCAAAACTGTATTGCACAATAAACACACCATTTTATCTTTCACAGAAGTAAAGAAATAATCTAACTCCCACTTTACATTAAATGTTCTGTTTCCTTAAGTTAATTTTCTTCTCTTACAATGTGACATGATGGAGAAAAAAATGGATATCAAATAGTACCTTTAAGAAATACAATAAAACCATGTATTAGTAAAATCTCAGAATAAGTAAAGCAAAAACTAGATTTTCACGATGGCCGATAGCAATACGAGACAAGACTGTTGCAAGCACACACAGATAACTGCAAATCACCAACCCCGCAACATACATGGAAATGCTGAGTGGTGCAAGACAAAGGGAGAAAACTAGGTACTGTCTATCTATCAGAATACCCACCCTCACTGTGTTCGGTGGGTGGCGATTGCTATGGCAACAGGATTAGTGTTTTTTAAGTAGCGGTGAGCTATGTCCAAAATTAGGAACAAAACAGAAGAATTTCTATTGTTGGATGTTGGCAAACTGAAAAGTGTGCTAGAATGGCAATAATTTCAGACTGTGAATGACTGCTCGAACTGCAACACTGCAGCATTATAGTTCATGCTATGCTCAATAAATGTCAGCACATTATTTAATTATATTAATTTTCAAATATGACAATATTAATTAATACATTTATTAAATATTAATTAATACAAGAACTAGAGGCTGCACAAGAAACTCATGGAGGTTACATGTTCCCCACCTTTGGTATATTTTATAAATAAGATCTTCTTAAGAACAATACTGTGATTTTTCACAGTATTGATTTTTCTTAGTAGTGATTTTTCTTGACAATTTGTATTTTTTGTTAAATCATTAAAAGCATTTTTAGCAATTCTTCTTGCAAACTGAGGGTTATTTCATTCCAAAATAGTGAAGAAGAAAAAAGGTTTTTACTCAAGATTCTCTAACTTGAAAGTTGTAGTTTACTTCAGACAAATTCAATAATGTTGAGATTTGAAGATTGTGCATGTCGTGCAGACGTTCTAACTCATTTTCATGTTCTTTAACCCTCTGAGCAGCACAGGATTTTAGATCCATCATGAAGACCGGTATTTAAACAGCATTTATTAATTGAGTTCACATAATTACTTATTTCAGTCTGTATTTTCATAAACTTACATTCATTAAGATGATATTTACATTATTAAAGTAAAAAAGCAAAATATCTTAAATTATAAGCTAATATATGCCAAGTAGCAAAACTTCTGATGACCGGATAAAGCCGGTCATAACGCTCAGAAGGTTAAACTACCCTGTCACCAATTTTGTGGTTTTGAATGGCGCATTATCATCATGATACACAATAATGCACCAGGATGCAAAGATTGAACAGACTTTATCCTTCAAGAGTTCTTTCACAGTCAATATTCTGGAGATCTTTACAGTACTGTTGCCTTGAACATTACCAATCCATTCCATGCTTCACTCTGCCTATGAGACTGTTTAGATGTGCCTTTAGAGCTCTATAGACATAAATTTATCTTGAAGTGAGAAAGACAGTGAAATTATCGCTGAATAACACAAATTTTGCATTCTGTACTGTGTAAATTCTTTGTACCTGACACCAAACTAGTAATCAAAATCGTAACAACAACCTTGTATTTAGCGTAGTTATAATGAAACACTCAATCGATTTCGAGGGCAGCTAAAGGTCCCTCCTCATCAGGAGAAAGAAATACCTAGAAAGAAGAAAATAAAGGGGAAGTCACAGAAACACGTGGTCCTTATCAGCACTGTACTTGGTTATAACTAGATTTTTAATCAGAGTTGCACTGGCCGCCTACTTTTACTGAGCCAGGCTATCTGATCGAGCATGTAATTCTTAAAAGAATTTTTATCTTTTCCATTCAGTAATTAAAATTTTCTCAAAAGCATTACAGATTATCTTAATCTTTGTTTTTAACTCATTTCTCATCATTAAAAAATGGGAGAATATCTGATTCTAATCAGATGATCATTGACATTCTGTACTGAAACTGTTCGCAAATGATTTACAAAGTATTTTGAAGTAACCTCTCTGATACAAAATTATCATACAGATTTACATGAAAACATAATTTTAAAGTCTCCATTACTTATCTCTGATTTACAATACTTGGCAGCAAGTGACTTACATGGTCATGAATTCAGCCTGATAAGTGTTATCTCCCAATTATATAACAAATTAAGAAATATCTTTGATGCTGAGGATTTTGTTGTCTATGATATTGTGTTTCTAGACTCAGAAGTTTATAAATTATTTAAGAATTATTAGAGGACTACAAGAAATGAGTCTAGTGCTATAAAGAGCTGGAAAAACTTAAAGTATTATAAAGCAGTAGTAAAATGGATTGTAGGTAAAGTATCTTGAAGCAAAAGAGGAGGAAAGGGAAGTCGATTCTATTTTTCTGATCCACAAATTTGTGTAAAATGTTGTAAGGTGTTCTGTTTTATGGAATGATATCCCCTGATATAACAATAGCAAGCTACAGCATAAATATTTTCAGTAACAATGCTATGCCTCAATTTTGAAAAAAAAAAAAAAAAAAAAAAAAAAAAAAAAAAAAAAAAAAGATTGGGAATTGGATTAAGTTTTTGTGAAACATAGAGCATAATGGATCATAATCAGAACAGAATGACACTAATAGATGAAGAATCCCTAAAAAGGCAGTTATCTGCCTTTCTAGAGATTCCCCATTCAAATAATAAATCCATCAATTATCCTGCATACAAGGCAGTAAAATGAAGTTCTTGTCCTAATTCTTGTCCTAGTTGTTTAATTGTTTAGTATTTTCTTTTAATTAATTAATTTATTTATTTTTGTCTTGGATTTAATGATTTGCATTGGTTTTGTCATAAAGTGCTTTTCTAAAAGTTTTAATGTAATTGTCTGTGTTTCATTTATGGATTAATTCATTTTATGTTAATTCCTATGGGAATGATAATTTCAGTTTATGAACATTTTAAATGACAATAATGAATGACCTTTATGAACTGAGGTTTCACTATAGTTGGAAGTTGATTATTTGAATGATTATTGCATCTGTCTATAAAAGTGTCAACAAGTTGGTTATCGAAACCTGTTTGCACTTTTATGGACAGATTCTAGAAAGAATAAACTATCTTCATTTTGAGAAAGAATAATCAGTTTGAATTAAGATGCAGATGTATTGAGTGAAATTCTTCAAAATCTTCTGATCATTCCCTGCCTAACACTGAATATTTTAGTTTTTGATCTCTATGACTTCTCATATTTTTATTCTTGTCACATTCACCCAACCCTTTTTATATATAACTGTAACAGAGAGTTTTTCTTAACAATTGTAGATAAGATTGGATGTATGCATTTTCAGTTTGTTTACATATTCTTTTATATTCATTTTAGAACTTTGCTATTCAAAGTACCTTTTATTAAAAGCATGTATATATTATTCATTTTTAAGTTGTGCATATTATTCATTTTAACATGCATTTTTCTTCTTGGGTTTTTTAGAAAAGATATTTGTGGGAAAAGTAATAGTGAAGAAAGACACATCTCGTTTAATAAAGTATGTAAAACTAAATTTTAATTTTACATAGAAATTTCATGTATTCTGTAGATAATTGCAACTTTAAATTTTTACAGAGAATTTTCTAGGATATGGCCTTTAGAAGGAAAATCACATTTAAAACGAGTTAGGTGGACTCCCCAGAAAGGTAAAACTTATTGTTATTTTGCAGAATTGCCTTATATGCTATTTACATGCTAAAAATATTTTTGGCATTAATTAGTAAGACAAATTATTGAATTTTAAGTAGTATGTATTCATATTGTGAGATATTAATTTTAGTGTACAGAAAAGTTCATGGATTTTTTTATTTTAATTTTGAGGATTTTCCTAATGAATTTTTTATCTTTTGTGTTAATTTTACTTTTAAATAAATAATAAGCATATATTTTTTTTAAACTTTTTTATTATGGAAACACTACAATCATTTTATTTTCATCAATAAGGCTCGGTTGAGCTGTGCTGTGCTGTGCTATGTGACAAGAAAAAATACTCTTAATCTCTACATATAATAAAAGAAAGAGTCTGTCTGTGTGTGTGTCTTTCGTTCGCACTGCGCGTATGCAAATAGACCCACAGCTATGAAAATTGGTACATAGGTACATCTAGATGAGAGCCAGTGCACCTTGAAGCGATTTTTTCGAAATTCGAATTAGAATTTTTTTTATTTTATGTTTTGTGACGAAATCGCGTCATTTTGAGACATAATGGATTATAGGAAAGCGAGATTTTACTCTACACACTCCATTTTCACATCGTCATGAAACGTAGGCACTTAGCTATTTTACGAACTTAAAATAAATTTTGTGTTTCAATAAATCGATTAAATACGAATTTATTTAACAAAGGGGGCTTAACACCTTTTAAACGGGATTTTTTCTAAAAAAGTTTATTTTTAAAAATGTGCAATTTATATTTCTTTGATTTTTGGACGCGTTAAATTTTCATCCTTGCGATTGCTTTTAGAAAAAGAATTTTGGGAAAATGATAATATTTTGCATTTTTAAAAAAAATTTTAAATGAAGCTTCTGAGTACACTTCTCACATCTTTAAAAATGTGATTTTGGCAACCATTTTCCTGTCTTATTGTTGTTGATAGATTTTTGATGAAATCGCATTATTTTTAATAGTTTCATTCTTTTAGAAATATCAGTTTAGCAACAATTTTTCATCGTATTTCTTATGTCACTGTTTTTAAGAGATTGGCATATTTCATTGTCATTTTTGTATAATACATTTTATTGTTATTTTTTTTATCAAAGTTGAAAAAATTTTGATCGTTGAAAAGTTGTCTTGCAGAGTAAAATTCTGCACAGAACTCTTTGTTTTTTTTTAGTTTCTTTCATGCTTTTTTTTTTTTTTTTTTTTTTTTTTGCTTATTTCACTGTTTGTAAGATATTGAAAAGTTTTGCATGTTTTTTTTCTTCAACAGAAACTTGGTTAATTTTTTATTAGGATAATTAATATTTGTATTAAGGGATATAGCTTATTTCATTGTAATTTTTTCCTCTTGAAAAATATAAGGTAAAAATATCATTAATTATACTTTGCTTTTCAGATTTTTTCAGAATTTTTGTTTTTATTCTTTTTTTATTTTCATTTCATATTTTTAAGATATTGAAAAGTTTTGAGTGATTTTTTTTAGGAAACGAAGTTCTTAACCTCCTTTATGCCATTTGAGTTCTTAAGATTTTGCAAAGGGAAGTTAGTTAATTTATTTATTAGGATAATTAATATTTGTATTAAGGGATATTGCTTATTTCATTGCAATTTTGTTATACGTAATAACTTTTTTTATGAAGTTGTTCTGCAGAGTAAAATTCTACGCAGTTTTTAAATTTAACGTTTGGTGTTGTTCCCTTCAGCCATTTTTCCAGTACGTTTAAAAGCCAGATGAAGGCTGGCAGCGAAGCTGCTAGTAAGAGTAACAAAAATATAAATTTGTTTACAGAAAATGCAGGTTTGTTTCTTGTTATGGTTTAATACACCAAAGTCCATAGCTAATTTGAAGGTTGTCACCATTAATCATTTCTTGATCTAATGCTTCAAGATTGCAAAGTTACTTACTGTCAAGACTACCTAAATAAATCTATAAAATTTATGTTTTGATTCATTTGTTACTGTCTGTCCAAATAAAGAATGATATACAATTTCTTCTTTAATTGACTCGAAATTCATATAAAGCTGAAGACTTTAAAATGTATGACTTCTGTGATCCTGCATCAATTAAGGCATGATTATGACACTAAAGGGTTATTACTTATTAACTTTAAAACTAGTGTCTGAAGGAAAACTGCAGGACTAGAAAATGAACTTGAATGGGGGGTTGTTCTAATATAAACTTTTATTAAATCTTTTTTGTCAAATCTTAAAGCTTCTTATTATCTTCGGATAATTATCTGCAAATTATCTACTTATTTTCTAGCATGAGAATTTACAACAGTTGATTGGATAAGATATTTGAATTTATCTGCTGGTCTTTTTTATCATCTTCCTGCATTTTCTATTTCCATCAAATTTAACTCAATTTTGGGATTTTTAAACTTTTTTTTTTTTTTTTTCAAAATATTTACACATTCAGAAGAATTTGCTACCTTGCCAACATCAGTTTCTTTATTTTTCTTTATCTAAAATTATTTAAACTTTAAAATAACTATTTAAGTAATGTTCAACAGATTTATTTTCATTTTCTAAGTCCTTTTCTGTTTTGTTATCTTCTAACATTTAATCCATTATTTGATTTTCCAAACTTTGTAACTCTTCAAATTTTTCCTGTAAAATCTGAAATGTTGATTGCACTTCAATGACATCATCAGGATTTTCTGTGTTGATGTCCTCATATATCTCATTAATAATTCTTGTGAATAAACTTCTTGCTACTTTTGTTGATTTGATGATCTTTTCCATGTTTACAAATAATGTCCTGTGGGTAGAAAGCCATATATTATGGAAACACTACAGTCATTTTGCTTTCATTAAAACAGAATCAACTGAGCTAGACTATGTTATGAGGCAAGAAAAAATACTCTTCATAGGAGTAACAAAAATATAAATTTATTTCCTGAAAAATCAGGGTTTGTTTCTATTTACGATTTTACATACTGTGATGTTACAAGCAAAGAAGAAATCACTACTGTCAGTCTGCTGCAGTTAAGTATTGGCATCAATGGGTACGATTCATCAATAGCCAACAGTTTAACATTGTTGAAAATTATGCAGTTCTATATTTGTTAGATAATAACAACAGATAATTTAATAACATAATTTGCAAAACAAATTATACATTTTAAAATTTTTTGCATTATCTGATATTACAGGTTCAGTATGCAGTTCTCAAATTCAAACAAATGTTATTGTTAAATATGTAAACAAATTTGATTTTTAATTCTTTTTAACTAATTACATTATTTTAATTTTTTTTTTTAGTTGATATGAACTGAAATTGAGTTCCATAATTTATTTAAATTCACAAAAAGGAAAGCAGAACAAATATATAGATCTCATAGTTAGTACACAATGATGCACATATTATTAAGTAAAAAATATAACTAAAAACATTATTGCAAGTATACAGATGAGGCTAGTTTAATTTTGTAGAAAAAATACTTAAATTAATTATATGAAAATACTGCATATGAATGAAATTGAGCTGTAATAATATAGATGTGACAAAAAAGGGCTTTTCTCAAAATCTTCCACTTTAGTATAGAAGCCTATTTCTTCTGGTCAGTTTCTTCCCCTTGCCTATTTTGAAATTTAATTTGCCTATTTCGAAATATAATATGCATATGTAATAATTAAGATGAGATGGAGATGCATGAAGATATAGCAGCAGGTATAGCTGCATGAATATATTTTATTGTTGATGAAAAAAGCTTGATGCAGATGTACACAGATACACAAAGCATGCACCTATTCTTGATAATTACATTAATGTCTTTTTTACATTATTATGACAGTATAATTTAACAAAGGAAGGTCATAAGCAGCATTTTAGCAGGGTGGTAAGCAACTACAAGAATGCCAAGTTTCCAGCTTTAAGCCTGGTTCAGGAAAAACGAGTTATGATTCATCTTCATTCCACTGTAATCGATTGCTAAAGGTTTTGGTTAAAAAATTTCAACATTAATGTTGGTTAAAATATTACCATAGTATTATTTAAGAATTTATCTATTAGCTTTATTTAAGAATCATGAGAGCAGGATTAATATTGAAATGACATAGTTTAGAGAGCTTTATTGCAAGCAATTTATGATATTTGGATGGAAAGGGAAAATAACCAAATGAAATGGGAAACTTAAGGTTGTAGCAAATAAAAGTTAGTATTTTGTGTTGCCTATTTTTTGCTTACATGCATGCATATATGTATGTATTCTTGTGTGTACATAAATATTGTATTAAAATTATTCACTTTTTTCACATTTTATAATAATTTGCATACAGTGAATTTTATTATTTATTTTCATTATTATTTCTAAAGTAGTTTTTGTGATAAATTTATACCATAATCTTTAGTGCATTTAACCAGTACATGATGTATATTTAACAGTTAAATATGTATATCTAATGTTAAATATTAAAATTTTAATTTCAGATGTATTCGAGATACTTATTCGTCCTGTAGCAGAAGATGAGTTGATTGCTGATTGTGAAGTATATTCCTTAGAAAAAGTAATTGGAAATGCAGATATTAATGCATCAGGTCTGATGGATTGTGTAATTGTTCGAGAAATACCAAAGTATCCTGCTTCGACTTACAATCAGTATAAAGAATCTATGAAATTTTGGCCTGTTCAGTTTCGAGAAGACAAATAGTAAGCTGCTATTCATAATTTCTTATGCCTATTTTAGGCGGTTTCATTATATTTTACAAATTGAATGTAAATTAAAAAAGTTTTTGTAACAAGGTAAAATGAAAGTTAAAATTAATTCATTTATTCTCACAATAATTGATATTTTAAGGGGAAAAAAAAAATTATGTGGATTTAAAATCTGTTGAAAGATGTGATTAACTTGATTTCTCCCAACAATGAAGATTTCCGAGTTGAAATAGTAACTTTCCACTATAAAAAAAGTTATTTATTCACATTTTAACCCTCTCAGCATTATGGATGTAAAATTGCACAAAAGAAAGTGAATCAAGGTACAAAGTGAGAGAGTCACTTTTTTAAATATAATCAAGAAAATAGCATTTATTTGTGAAATTTTGAGGAACTTTAAAATTTCAGGGCTAAACCTTGGAGGGTTAATGTATTGGATTCAGTAAAAACAGAAATATAGTACCTTTGTGTAGTACCAAAATTTCCAGCGTTTGTGCAGTTACTGCAAAATTAATATTAAATTCTTTTTTTTTCTCTCCCTTTACAGTTGCATCTTAATTTATTGTAGATCCTTTTGAATTTAAATAATGGATTTATCTTCATTTATCATTTTTTATACCAGCTGTTCTGGAATTTCAGTTCTTATACTATGGAAATTATTGCGTGATAACTGTTTCATTTATACCTCTCAATGATGCATGAACAACACTGACATCTTGATGCAGCTGTATACTCGGTGAAACAGCAGTAATTTTTTTAAAATTTGTAAATAAAAAATTTCTAAAATTATTTTTGATTGTGCTTTTAAATATGTAATAAAAATTTTTATTTCATTTTACATGCAATTACAGCTTATTTACTGCTGCTTTTCTTCTTTACTTATCAGAATATTATTTTGTGCACTGTTTTCTTTAAACAATATATGTTTATGTTACTCACTACCTGGAACAAAATATGCTTTATGTTGTATTTATGTTAATGCTATTTTAAATAATTGTTTTTTATAACTTAATTTTTTTTCAAGTGCAGTGAAATTCTGATCATCCAGAAAATCCAGATATTTAAAACTATAAATCTAGATATTTAAAAATTCCAAATAATTGCTTTGCCTTTCAGTGGATTTAGAAGAACAGTTTGCAATAAAAGTTAATACTGAAACTGTTAGAAGAAACTTTAGGGCACATGGATATAATGGACGATCAGTAAGAAGGAAATTCTTCGTCAACATGAAAACAAAGAAAATATGCCTAAGTTCTTAAAATCTATGGTAAATGAAGATTTATCATATTAAAACAATGTTACATTTGCAAATGAGCCGCAGTTGGAAGCAATTAAGGCCAATGAATGAATTGTTGTGTGGCCAAAGCTGAATAAAAAGTTGAATCCAAATCATTTATTGTATGTTGTTTAGTATGAGCTATGATCTATGTTAGTGACAGAACTATGATCAATAACACTTCTATATTTAAAAAGTAAGGAAAAAATATGTCTGAAAAAGTTATAGCAGTTATTATGGAACTTCTATAACTATTAGAAGTTATAACGGTTGGTGATATTTTGCTGCCCCTAGGATGGGAAATATAGTTTTTATAGAAAATAATATGGATGAGTATAAATATGTAAATATTCTTAGTGAAAACCTGAAAGCATGGGTAAGAAAACTTAGAATGCAAAATACATTCAAGATCTATCAAGACCTAAACATATAACCATAAATGCTTGCTTATTGTTTTCATACAACTGAATTCCTGCATATTCTCTGAACATAAATCCTATTGAACATGCATGGAGTGAGATGGAGAAAGAATAGGGAAACATGACATTTCTTCAAAAGCTCTTCTGAAAGAAATTTTTATGGAGAAATAGTACAAAATAAAACATTCTTACATGAATTTTTCTTTCTTTTCTTTCTTTCTTCTTTCTTTCTTTTTTTTTTTTTTTTTTTTTTTTCCCATCTGCCAAAGTGTAAATTATAGTGTAATTTTGGCTAATATCCAACAAAATATTGAAGGTCTCATTATTTTTGTGTTTTCATTAAATATAAATTGTCCAGTACTTTAAAATGTTTATGTGTGTTTATTTTCAGAACTTCTTGAATAAATTATTTTTGGAATCAAAAATGCTTTGGAAAACTTTTTCCAAAACAAGCAGGTTTTAAAAAAGGTGATCAATAGCATATGCGAAAATATAAAATCATTTCTTTAGTGTATAGTTACTGATATTTGCAAATAAAACTGGAAAACATAAGTGTCTGGAAACAAATGTGAGCCACTGTGTGTGTATATATAATATATATATATATATATATATATATATATATAATTAAAATTAATTCAGCACAACAAATTCTATTTGGTAATATAGAAAAAAGAACTGGCTCAAGAATTGGAAAAAAAAAACTGTTTCAATTGTGTGTAAAATAATTAAATACAAGATGATAATGAAAAATGAAATGATATATTATCCCCTAGTACATTTTCTATAGGGCCTAGTATACTGAGAAATGCAAAAGAAAAAGCCTTGTTTATGAACCAGTTCATGCATGATGCATGATAAGAGATCAAAATAGACTAAGAAAAATGTAATTTTAAATTATATCGAGGTCAAATCGTGCATATACTAGCCAAACCCTACAAGCTGAAATTGGAAGTTAAACTGCAAAAGAGAAACGAAATTGAAGCAAAAATAGAGTTATGCAATAAGAATAATTAAAATTAAAAAAGTCTTTCTAAAATAATTTTGAAATGTGTAAGTAAACACAATTTTTTTTTTTTTTTTTTTTTTTGTTGTTGTTGTATAAAGTCATTTTTAACTGTAGAATCCGGCAATAAAAACTAAAGTTAGTTAAATAAAACCCAAAGAAAATAATAATTAAATATATAATTTATATAAAATGACTTAATTCCATTCAAAGAAACATATTTTGAATATAATTATGTAAAAACGAAAACTTTGAACTAAATTTAATAATGCACTTGAAATTAGGTATGAACAACAAAACAGTAAAATATAAACCTTATGGTAAAGCACAAGTAAATTTAGTATCAATTAATCCACAACATTATGATCAGTAACACTTCTATATTTAAAAAGTAAGGAAAAAATATGTCTGAAGAAGTTATAGCAGTATTGTCAGAATGAAAATAGAAAAAATATTTGGAAGATGAGTGTTGAGTTGTTAAAAGTTTCACTGTTGCTGGCTCTTATGAGACATGAAAGTAAAGTAAAGAGAATTAAAAATGGGAAAGGTGATGAGTACTACCAAATATGAAAAGACAACAGAAACAAGGTAGAACATAAACCAAAATGAATATAGATTTAAATTTCATACAAAATCAAACATAGTTGATTTCATAATAAAAATTTTGTATGAAATCAAACATTTCATAGTTTCAAACAAAAACCAAAATGAATATGGATTTAAATTTCGAATTTGAGTTTGTAGGACATAAAAAGAAATATAATTAAAAGAATGCAATTGTAGAACTTAAAAACAAATATAATTTTTTTAAGTTTTAAATTAAAAACTTTTTAATTTAGTAACTTAAGTTAAAAGTTAATCCAGTATACTTGTGTAGTCTGTTTTTGAAAAAGGGAAAAAAGGAACACATACTTTGCTTAACAAAGATTCATGAAATAAACAAAGAAGAATTCACCTGTATATGTAATGAATAATTGCTTTTCCATTAGTGATTATAGATTATATAAATGCTAAACATTTCAAGTCTCTCTTTGTGATACATACTTTTGTATAAATGGTAAATTATCATATGTTATGCTAGTTTATTGTTTAACTTTTTGATGGGCATAAATGAGCTCAGCTCGCATTCCAGTTATGCACTGCTGTGGGCGCAAATAAAGCAGCTCGTATTGCAAATTTTCAACAGATATTGCATATGTTGAGACGAAAGAATTGCCTAATCTGACAACTGCCAAACTGTTAACAGAACAATTTAAAATGTATATGCAGTAAAAAATTTAATTTTACTTGGGCTCAGAAAAAAGTTTAAATAATCTGGATAATTGAAACTCTGAGTATCTAGAATCTGCATAGTTATAGTTTTATTGTAAATGGCTGTTCTATTTGGTAGCTTGCTGAAACATTTTGAGACATGCTTATGTCTTAATTATAACTCTGACAATTTTCAAATAAATTTTGGTAACTGAAATGGTGAATTGTAATGCATAATTTTAGACATAGTATCTATTAAAGTTTATTTGTTTCCTATCCCACTGTATTCTGGGATGATTATTACTATAAAAATAGAGACTGTAGGTTGATATTAGTAAATCTTTAATATGATAACTTTAGTTTTTAAATGTAAAACATTCAACTTGATTTCTAATAATGTCATTATTCTATAAACAAAAATTATTACGTTCAGTCATTTACATTTATGCTTTTATCTAATGATTTAAAAGTGTTACCTTGGTATGCATTAGAAATACTAAAGAGTATCTTTTATTGCAGTGTTATTATGAATATTTATAAAAATTAATATTCTTATTAAACTAGTATTAAACAATTTATATTTCCATGTAACTATATTACTGTCCTATTGACTGTGAAACTGTTTGCCAAGCTGCGGGATTTGGGAGCAGTTACAGACAAATGGGATATAAACACTCTTGTTGTGTGCTCTTCTGTTTGATGTACCCCAACTGATTCTCAATAAGCCATTTTTCGTTTTCATGAGCATAAAAATTGAATGATATAAAATATGATCATAATATAAAATTTATGATTTTATAACAAAGCTATAAATTAACTGCTATTGCTGAATTTTTTTTTTTCCTTGTGTTTTGAGACAAAAGATTAAAATTTGCAACCTGCATGGTCAGCTGAACATTGCCAGCAAAATAGCAATGGATTATAACAATTACCTGCAGGAAGTTTGTACTCATAGCATTCTAAATAAAACTTCTGGTAAAATCGAAGGGCCTAATGAAACAGTAGAAATCAAAGAAAGTCATTTTATGAAGTGCAAAAGCTGGTTGAATAATGATTGTTGATTAAATAAAGAGGCATCAGAATCCTGTGGGAATGTTTGGTGGAACTTTGCTAAGATCTACACCAATTTTCATGATTTGATGGCAACCAACTTTCATGGTTGGCAGGGTAATATGTAAGTGCCAAAATTTCTAAGTTATAAATCCAAATAAATAAATATAAATATGGAGAAAGTTATAATTATTAGAAATTATTATGTAAGTATTAGAAATTATTAAGTATTGTTGTAATAACTCGTAATAATTATGATATTTTTTTATTGTGTATATTTAATACACTAGTGAAAGTAGATATAATAAAACCATTACCTTATGAGTTGGATGAATATAACAATATAAATGTATATAGGAAGCATAAGCTTATTTTCAGATGGAATGTATTATGAGAAAGAAAGCAGAAAGGGATTAAAATGTTTGATAAATAATATTACCTGACAAAGGTGGTTATAGTATACAGGCTAAAAGATCAAAATTAATCTAAAATTAATCAAAATTAATTACTGCTTCCAATATTATAAATATACTTATTAAAGTTATTCCAGTATTCGTGATATGCCATACTTATGTTTCATGAAAGTTTCGATCCCTTACATTGTTATTTGGTACTTCCTGATTATCTGCGCACCTGGTTTCAGGATGTGGTGAAACTGCCATGTTTTTGGCATATTTTCAAGTAGGCACATGACAAGCCAACTCATGGATATACTTGCCATATATGTGTTTGAGTGCATTTGGATTTATATGCTTTATATTTAGCTGTCATTTTGCTGAAGTATTCATTGGCTGTAAAAATGTAAATATCATCCACATAGTTTTTGATTTATCGCATAAAATTCCTTGTTTCTTAGAAGGTGCTTCTTTTTATTTATGAGCAGAATATTTATAATCTGTAAAGTTAGCCAAACAAACACCTTTCACCAGTTTACAAAATTAGCAACTTTTTATGGTGGTGTGGATAATCAGTAAGTATCTGTCCTTTTTATAGATAGTAATAATTATTGTTGTCAATGTTCTATAGGTCAACTTGATAATTTTTATAAAAGTATGCACCATTAACATAATTAAAAAAAGATATTTTTTAATTTTCTATTCTATATTTTGATTAAATATTTCTCCTCCCCCCCAATAGTACAGAACAAATTTTGAATGATAAATTGTTCACTTCTGAAGAAAAGAAGGAAATGGAACTATTGATGAAGATGTGTATAAGTGCTGCAAAATATGGTGATGTATGGTGTTATTTTTCAGATGATTAAATTTAGCATGGAAAATTGTTTTTAATTTGCATTTTTAAAATTTGTTTTGAAATGAATAATTCATAGGGAGGTATGCTGTATCTATGTTTTGATTTGTATCAATGTAAAACTGAATTTTTCTGTGTTATTTAGAGTAGAATTATGCAGTTATACTTAACATTTCTGTATGCATGTTCATTTGACTGAAAAGAAAGAGGTCCTGATTAGTAGTTAGATAAAAACTATACATAAAAGAAATTATTAAGTCTCAAAACCAGATTTCATCATTTTATTATGATGAAAATTACAAATGCAGTTGTCAAATCTGTAACTTTTTTTTTTTTTTTTTTTTTTTTTAACTCAGGACAATTTATTTTAATGGAGCAAAAAGATCTTGCATTTAAAATATATTTCTGATATTAAGATCGATTTGTTTTTAAAAAATTTGTCTGAAAATATAGTATTATCATGAATATTGCAGCATTTTGCTGTTTGATAAATATTCAAAATTTAAAGAAAATTTTGTCTTTATTTGTTTATATATTATATTGCTTAAATATTTTTGATGTGAAGTAGTATTCCCTGAAGAATCATAATTATTTTATAGATCTTTAGATTTTTTTTTTTTTTAATTTCAAATTTTCTGTTCTGAGACATGAAGTTTAGGCTTTTAGGTATATATTATTATAATATAAATGCTGGCCTATGAATGACCAAATGAATAAGATTGTGGAACAGTGGTAATTTGATTTTGGTTCGAATCCTGCACAAGTTCACTACATTGGTAATACAAGTAATATGAGCTATTTTCTCTCAAGAAGTCCTGTACAAAGACATCTTTTCCTCTAGACTTGTGGTGGTTGAATGTTTCACCATAATCAATAAAAGACATTAGTGCCTATGTTAATGAGCTACACATGCATATTCTTTTTGTGTAATTTAAATTATTACTCTGAGCATTTCTTTTAAAATAAGTCAAATACAACATGGATCTGAATGAGGGAAGAGATGTTTCATTAAAGACTTTATCACGGAATCTTGCCCATATTATTATTATACGGAAGAAAATAACTCTGATTCAACAAAAAGTAAAAAAAAAAAAAAAAAAGAATTTATTTTGCCAAATCAATTACATTGCTGGTTGGAGTTATCAGGAAATGACTAAGCAAGTTAATGATTAAAGGTAGTGTATAGCAATCTTTAAAAAACAGCAGTAACATTGTAGAGTCATCAGGTATTTTGAAGCAGGAAACATAAAAATTAAGCAATGCTCTTGCCAAGACTCAAACCTGGACTTCTCGAATATGCGGCAAGTATACTAACCATTACGCTACGAAGACATGCAGAAAGGGAGAATATACATTATCCTTTTTAAAGGGTGACTGGAGATTAGCAAATCCAATCACCAAATCCAGTGGTGGAAAATCATCATCCACCACCTTTTAGTTCAGGCGCCACTGTAGAGACATTAGGATTTTTGAAGGAGGAGACATGAAAAACAAGCATGCCCTCATTGGGACTTGAACCTGGACCTCTCGAATACATGCCAAGTGTGCTAACCATTACACCATGTAAGCATGCAGAAAGTAGAGAGAAAATACCTATAAATTTCATCCTTCAGTAATTATAAGGCAAATCAAAAACTTGAAGTTTAAAAGTGCATTGGCAAATTTTCAGATAATATCTTTTTCTATCAGTGGCATGCAGTCTATAGAAGCTGTAGATGTACCACTTCCCTTGTATTCTTTAAAATGTAATAAATACATATATTATTGGGTGATTATTTTTGTCAAAATATTTATGTTGTTCTTGTGAACTAAACATAATGGTTTATACTTGTAAATAGTTTATTTTAAAAGACAAAAATAAAGAAAGAGAAGATATGAGATGCAAAGAATGTATGTAGGATGTTCACCATATGATAACATGAAAACAGACTATTGGGGCTACCAACAGCAGTCTGTCTCATTGCGGCAGGAATTGCTGATTGGGAATTCGTATGTGTATATTGCGAAAGGAAATGCTGTATTGTTAAATACTTGTTAACTTCCATGGCAAAAATATTTTCATCCTGTAAAGTAGACAGAGCATGCACTTTAGAGAGTACCAATCTTCCATGGCTTAGCTCATGCACACCAAACACTTCTGCTGATTCTATCCCCTAGACACTCATAATGAGTTAGTTGAGTAATTAATTAGATTGTTTTAAGATTTAAAGAGTAAAGAATATTTTATGTTAATTTTATTAATGTTTTAAAAAAATAAATTCAAATTCATAGAATTGGGGAAAATTTTGTGCAAGTAAAATTTTCATATTTTTATTTTTAATTTTAGCCCGTATGTCATAGTTACTGATTCAGAATGTAACTGTGCTGTTGAAAATTTATTTACAAAACGTTTAGTCTCAGGACCCTATAATGTGGGGAATAAAAGACAAAAGCCTAAATTAAATATAACTATTTCAACAAAAAAATTTGCTTGACATTTACATGATAAAATTTATGATGATATAAAATTGTTTTGTGGATGCATAAAAATGCAAACATTGTATTGTTGGGCTTGTTTGCTGTTTTCAAAGGAAATCAGTGCGTGGAATGAAAATGGTTTTGATGATTCAAATGATTTTAAGTAAAACTTATAAAAGATGTGAGATTACCAAACATCACATTGATTTTTTCATAAAATTTAAGTAATTTGGATATCAAAACAAAATAGAGTTTAACATTAGTCGCCAATATAAAATAAACATTTAAAATTATAAAAGAAAGTAATGGCTAATAGATATATAATATCTAAGTGAATAAATGGTATATGTTTCTTGTCAAAGCAAGAATTGGCATTTAGAGGACATAGGAAACCTACTGAATCTAATAGCAGAGGTAATTATGTTGAACTTGTTTGTTTAGTAAAAATGCCAAATAATCAATTAAAAGTATATTTTGAGAAGTCTGTGGTTTTCACTGCCTTATCTACAGAATTTAAAATGTTAGAAAATTGCTAAATATCATTAGAAGCATTAGAAAACGTTTTATTGCAAAAAATTAAAAAGAAATTTGAGAATGCAACATTTGTTGTAAGAAAACACCCATCTAACAATTGGAGAGTTTTTGTTCAATTGCAGGGAATGTTACTTAGATTTTTCATGATTCCTGCCCACAAAAACCTTGATGACACTATAAATCTAAAAGATGCTAACTGAGCAGTAGCAAAGATTGCTGCAGGATAAAATGCTCATCAGATGTTATAAAATATGTTCTAGATAGAGGGAAAGGAACACATAATTTTCAAACAAGGGGAATGATCTTCAAAGGCATGAGGGAAATGATCCCAAACATTCACTGGGTATCTAAAGTGCAAGGTAAAATCAAGAATATGTAGAATGCACTGCAGAACATGAAAGAGGCAACACAACAGATGTGCTTTACTGTTAAACAAGTAGTGGGATATCCACAAAATTATTTTAAAAAGTATTAAAAAATGTGTCATCTTATTCATCATTTGGGTCAAGTGGACTTCATGTGATTAGTTCAAAAATTTTATTATCAGTTAAGAAAATAATCTACAATATTGTACTAAGTTCTGTGAAAATTATCTAGGGAATGAGAAAGAAACAACTGTTATACTTTAAATTTCGTATTGTCCATTGCAGAGCCCGTTTTCAATCACATAAAACACTTGAAAGATCGGCGGTATTTATTTCAAAATAATTTTCTAGATCATAGCTTGAAAAGTCCAAAATTATTTTTTAAAAAAATATTTGGGGAATAAAGTAGCATGTAGGGAAAATTTAAAGAAAAACTTTAATAAAACTTGCTCATTTTTAGAGAGATTGAAAGCTTTGATTTAAGTGAAATTGATTTCATATAAAATAGTGCTTTTTCTGTTATTTTGTATTCATAGTTCAATTTAAATAATATTAATTTTGTTTGAATTAAATGAACATATTTTTATATATAATGGCATATGTTCTTGATTGTTTTTGATGTAATCTTGAGAAAGGAAACAAGTAGTTGGCTTTATTATGCATATGCAAGCACTTATTATTTATTGCTTATTTTCAGTTGTTTGTATTTTAGATTAAAGTTGGCTGTATTATTGTTGATCCATCATCTTCAAAAATTATTGCAATTGCTCATGACTGTAGGAATTTGCATCCTATGCAACATGCTATTATGGTTGCAATTGATCTAGTGGCTAGAAGTCAAGGTGGCGGATCGTGGAACATTGATAGTATGGTTTATGCTTCTTTCATTGTTTATTCTATTTAACTGATGATTATATTTTAGTTTCTTACAGAAAAGTAAATAAAATGGAAAAAAAGTAAAGAAATGAAGGAATGCTACAGTCTTTGGAGCTGTTAACAGGGATGAATTTATTAACAATAATTTAACTTATTTGAAAATAAAAACTGGTTATTAGGTCTGACAAAATGCAAAGTAATTAAATAATTTTCCCCCCAAATAGTTAATTCAATTTGAAATGAGGGATACACTCCTTGGGGCTGCTAAAGGAGATTAATTGTTAGTATCATTTGTTCATTCTCATTGAATGGAAAAATGATACAGTTCTTGGGGATAAATTTACTGACAAACTTACTTGAAGATAAAACTATAGTATTATTTCTGTAATAAAATGCAAAGTAATAATTAATTAAATTTTGTTTTCTATTTTCCTAAAAAATATGTTAATTTTCGATTTTTGTTGTTGTTATGAACTGAAATTCCATTTCAGAATCCATTCAGACTCATAAATTGAAAGTAGATGTTTCAGTAAATATAAAAATATACATACATACGTATGCATACCTATTACCAAAGAAGGCTATTCCAGGCATACAGATAAAAATAAATATAATGAAAACATTTTCATTAATTAATAATATAGTAGTGTTATGTAGGAAAAAATATTAATATCATATATTAATATGAAATAAGTATAAAATCAATTTCGTTCAGCTGATTTTCTCTTTCTGTGGAATTTATTATTTCTGACATTTCTCATGAATTATGTAATTTTCATAATTAATATTTAATTATGAAAATATTTAGGAAATTAGGAACTATCTTTAATGAAATATAAAACATAATGTGCTTGTGCATGTATAATTCTATTTTTAACCATCTAACTATATTAAATCTTACTAAAGTATGTGATCTTGAATTTGTAATTGAAAAGAAATATCATGCCTTCCTTATACACTTTTGTAAACTCTCAGGACACATTTTTATTTTACAGGCTTTTATTTAATGTTTTGTAAAATTCATATACAGTTTTAGTTATTACCCTATTAAAATTGTTCTTAATTTTCTGAAAGGTGAACATGTGTATCATTTGCCTTTCTCTAAGGAAGAAGCTGAGAAAAATATTGCTGAATTGAAAAGCCTGAATCCAGGGAAAGATATTAAAAAAATGTCCCTTCCTTATTTATGCACTGGATATGATCTTTATGTCACAAGAGAGCCTTGCATTATGTGAGTGATTATTAATTTCCTTTTTATATGTTTGAAGATAATAGTTTTTTGCATTCCATCCTTTAGATTTTTGTATCATCAGTGAATGCCAATCCTTCTGATGCCATTTACAGAAGGTATGATTTATTATCTCATGAAACTATCTTAAAGCACTTGTAACTTGGTTAGTTGTGTTAATTGTATATTTTAATTTACTAATGTATCTTTTGAGTTTTTCCTTGCCCTTTTCAGTAAGCTAGCTAATATTTCTTTTTTGATAAATTAATATTTCATTTCAAAATTAAAAAAAATAAATTGAATAGTTCCCCCCTTATAAATGCATTATTTAATTACAGAGTAATAATAACATAAAGGAGCTGATGTATTACTTATAACAGAGGTTTTCAACTAGGTGTGTGTGTGGGGGGGGAGATTTTATAGCTTTTCAGGGGGAGAGAGGATTCAGTCAGTCTTTTATTTAGCTGCTGAATAATTAGTTTTACTTGGTATAAAAAACTTTTATTTTTGTTATTTATCAATATTTTCTATATTTTTGTAGTTTATTTTATAAAAACACATTAAAAATAATCTTAGTCTAAATAAATGTATATGTATTTTTTTAATTTGGGGAAGGAGAAGAGGGAAGGATCTGCAGTTTGAGAACAACTGTATTATAATCTAGTGAACAACTTTACGAAATTCTTTGTACAACATTACTAATATTTAGCTTTATCACACAACGTGAAGACACTTCTGTGTAATGTAACCGAAAAATATAGTTTAAACGGAAGTTCTTGAGAAGGCAATCTGAACAATAATTTTTTTAAGTAATCTTTATTTTGCTATTCTTAGGATGCTTTCTGATTATTGTGGCATTGTTCACTAATTTAGCATATAAAGTATCCATAAAATTAGCAAAAAGCAATGTTAGATTAATGTTATATTTTACATAAAATCTCTGTGCATTTCAAGGGAATCTAAATAAGTTGCTCTTCTTGAAGGGAAAAAACATTTAGCATCCTCTCTCCCTAGAAATAAGCTATTTAATTACAGAAGAATAATAATAACGTAAAAATTAAGGAGGTAACAATTTTAGAGTTATCTGTTGAGACAGCAAGGAAAGCTTTTTAACACGTGATAAATTTTTGGATAGAAAATTAAGAGCCTTTACTAAAGCTCATAAGTTTTAATGAATGTGGAATCTAATTTATCAGTGAAGAAATTTTTAGGCTTATTTTAAAAAACATTTAAGCTTAATATAATTGAAGTTAAAAGGAAGGTCCACCAATGGTTTGCTATGGAAGTTTTATTAATTCTCTTTTTCCTAACTTAAGATTTATGTTTTTTATGCAAATTTGTAACACTTTCTGAGTTTGAGTAGTGTTAATTAAACTGTACTGATAAAGAATATTATAATTCCACTAGACGTAAAATCTGAAATGTGATCTTTGATCAATATTTAATATATTTTTTTAGAGAGAGTGAAAATGACGTGTTTGAAAATCAATTGTCTGGATAATCTGTGGAATTTTGGGAATTAACAGAATGGAGGGAAAAAAAATGGTTGACAATAAGGTTTCAATGGAAAAGTGTTTTTTATTTTTTGTATTATTACCATAAAAAAAAGGAGAAAGATATGATTCAGTGGCAAGAGCTTTCAAATAGGTTAAGTATTTAATGTTGCAGAAGATTATGAAATAGAAAACTAAGTATACAGAAAAATGTTAGAGTAGAAATGGGCCATTTTTTATTTAGTAAAGTGGGATAGTATTTGGCATAAGAAAAGGGTAGAATAGTTTCTTATAAAATTTAGTATTGAAATTAAATTGTGTCATTAAAATGCCAAGGAAAGAAAGGTTCATTAGAGATTGTTTTGAGAATAAATTTAGAAGACAAGATTGTTGGAAGTCCCAATAGAAAAATATATTTACTAAATAATTTTTTTTATTATAAAAAAGTGTAAAGTTGTTATATAAGTAAGTGTTGTAGTGTAAAGTGTTAGAGTAAATCTTAAACAAAAGTAGTTTTTAAATCAGTTTTATCTTAAAAACATGATTGTTTTTAATTATGTTTAGAAAATTTTAATTATTTTTAATGTAAAGTGATTTTTAGTTTGTTAGAATAGCCTAAACATTTTTTATTTCATCTCTGTATGAAGTAAAGTAGTATTTCATGAAAATTTAAACATTTTATGCATCATCTAATGTAGATCTTCATTTTATGGTTAATTACTATAATGTCAGAGCTTCCTACACTTTCAGCAGTAAGTGACATTATTATAAAATCTGCATTTTAAATAATTTTAATGAAGTACTTCTTTTTAGTAGATGTAATAATAATGTTAAATACTGCCTTAAATGCTAAATATTGAATGTCTGAAAGTTTTAAAAAGTTTCAAAGTTAAAAAGAAAAAAGCTTTATGCACTCATTTTCAAAAGCAAGTTTAAGTAAACTATAAAATTTCAGCAGTATTTTCATAAGTTTGGAATTATCATAAATCTTAAAATTTTCTGAGTAAGCATGTATTAATTCCTATAAAGGAAACAATGTTTTTAAAACACTATGCTTTTAATTTTACTTTGAATTCAAATTCCATTCTCTACCTTTTAGGTGTGCTATGGCCTTAGTTCATTCAAGAATCCGTAGAGTATTCTATGGCTGTAGAACACCGTGGGGTGCACTAGGAAGCCATTGCAAACTTCATTTGCAGACTAGTCTCAATCACCATTATGAAGTGTGGAGTGGTTTGCTAGAAAACCATTGTATTGATCTGTTAAAAGTTGAACCAGACAAGAGAAAATGCTCTTGATGTTTGCTCCACGCTTATTAGCTGTTGTATATGTTTTTATACAATAAAAACTGCATATTTGTACATTTTAAATAAAAAATATTTTTATTCAGAATTGCTTTACTGTAAGTTGAAATGTGAGTACTATTAAGTGAAACATTCATGGAGAAAATATACAGTACCATAAGGAAAAACTGTATTTAAATATTCTTATAAGGTATTTCTCCCACTTTCTTGGCATGCCTTCGTGGTGTGGTGGTCTGCACATTGGGCGTGTATTTCAGAGGTCTGTGGTTCGATTCCCGGCGAAGGCGTTGCATGTTTTTCATCTCTCATGCTTCCAAAACAATAGCTAATGACTCTACAGTGATGCCCGAACTAAAAGGGTTATGGATGATGAATCTCCACACTCAGGATTTGGCGATGGGGTCGCCCTTTAAAAGGGGGGAGTATATAAGGTATTTCTCCCACCTTCTTGGCATGCCTTCGTGATGTGGTGGTCTGCACTCTGGGCGCATTTTCCCAAAGGTCCTCGGTTCGATTCTCTGCGAAGGCGTTGCATATTTTTCATCTTTCCTCTTTCCAAATTAAAAACATAATGACTCTACATGCTTATGGTATATAATGAAGAATTCATTAATTAAAGACAAAGTAACTGATTTTTCTAGGTAAGAAATTTTCATATTTGTAATAAATCTCTGTATGTTATAAATAAGTATTTAAATATTTTATAGCTATATTTTCTGTTCTCTGGCTTGTTAGCAAGTTTCTCTGTTAGAAAATCCTGTATGAAAGCATCACTTCCCTTAAGCAGACAGCTTTTGAATGCTTTGCCATATTCGAATAACTTGACCTGTTGTTTGTCATAAACATTGAGATTATGAATACATATATTTATAAGTTTTTAAAATCCTTTGTGGACGGTTGTTGCATATTTGTGGTAGATGTATACTCTGTTAAGAAGTGTCACATTCTGTTGATGAAAGAATCCTGCTTTAAAAGATGAGAATTGTACATGCATGTTTCCATGCAGGGCGTTTGTATACCAGAAACAGTTGGTATTAGGCATCCATTGCATTTTATGTAATATATTTTTTCATGTCTTGATTTGCAGCATATCAGATATTTATTTCATTTTATTTACTTTTCTATTATTTTATCTTTTTTTTTTTCTTTTAATGGGATAATATATAAAATGAGATAATATTAAAAATATAAAAGCATTGTGACGTAGACTTTCCGTCCGGGCAAATGCTGTGTTTTAAAATTATTTTATAAGTTTTTTGGTCTTGTGATCATACATTTTGTTTTTCTCCAATCCCCCGAGGATTTTTTTTCTTTTTTCCCCCGTGTAAAAGATATAATGCATTAAAATGAAAGCAGGAGTTAAAAATTTGTGGACAAGGGTTAAATATTCTGCCATTGTGACATACTATGCAATATAGTATAATCAATTAAATATTTAATTTTTTAAAGGAAAAGTAATTTTCTAAAATCTTTCAACTTTAAAAATAAATATTTATGCTTACATAATAATAAAAAATAAGATTTTTAAGAAAGAAAAATGGGATTCATTTCAGAACCATGATTTTTTGTAGTTTTCCATGAATTAGGAATGATTCCTTAATGAAAAAATTCCCTCATCCTTTAGAATGAAATTGTTTCTGATGGTCTGTGTCCTCATAGTCACCTGAAAAAACTCCTTTTTTTATATGCAAAAATTTTAAAATGTATATCTATTAATGATGATTATTTATGATCATTCAGAATTAAGTAAGGAGCTCATGGTTTAGTCTGTATTAGAGATGAACAAAACTGCTCCTTAAAGGGATCAGATTGGAACCATTCGCTCACTGAAGTGAACCAGCTCTTTTTAACGATTCACCGGTCACTAACAATGACTTTGATTAATGTGTTTGGAACAGACATGAATCAAAATTCGTGTGCAAAGATTGGGGGGAAAACAGAAAGAATTGAACAAGGAGTGTGATCGCTGGAATCAACTCAACCAAACCACTCACTTCATGGACTGATTTCTTTCAACTGTACTTTCGAGATTCCCTAAAACAATCATGTCTACATAGAACAACAATAAAAGTCTGGAATAAAAAAATGCTAAAAGTTAAAAAATAATGAAAACTAAACTAATTTTTGTTAAGCATTACATTATTTTATTACTATAATTGATATTTTGTTGCTACTATGAAGCACAGTGGAAAATAAATTTTTAGATTGGATCAGATCCCGAAGAACAGGGAATTATCTGCTGACAATACCGGCATTTCCTTTTTTTATTTAATTTGACAAAATGATACCAAATATTGCTCGAGGTTTTCTTTTCGATATGATCTATATTTTGTTCTACAACCTTGAAAAATGCATTAGATGGAAAATTTATGTTTGTTAATACATACTAATTTTAAAGAAGATTAGAAAGAAATTCACAGCTCTTGATTACAAGACGTTAGTAAAATAAGTAAATAAATAAAAATATAATTTATTATTTTACATAAATATTACAGTAATATTGTACAAAAAGATAATGCGTAATATACATAACTATACTATAACACAGTATTCAAAGATTCAAAATGGAACTCAAAGGAATAGCTCCGAATAAATGAAAAAAGGTAATAAGGAAGATTCCGCGGGAGCTAGATTTGAAAAGAGCGAATAATCAAGACTCGTCAGAATCAGATCCAATCACTACTCCGAATAGTGACGGTACGCTGACAGCTGGGAATTCGAAGAACTAGTTCCTATAATCTGTGTACTTCAAACAGTTCCTCGCACTGCGGAATGGGGGGAAAAAACTCCATTCACTTGCACAGGAGCTAATGTTACCATCATTCGAAAAAATTTGGCTCAACAGTTGAGAGGTAAACTCATCTGGACGCCTCCCTGCATTACTTTCCATAACTGTGTCCGGTGATAAAATCGACATTGATAAAAAATTAAAAGTTAACATCACGTTTGGAAGTGCCGCCTACCATCACACGGCATATGTGGCAGATATTACAGATCCGTGCATACTCGGATTGATTTTCTAAGGAAATACAATTTTACTTTGGACTTTAAAAATAACTAACTGTATTCTGCCTCTGAGGACATAACCCTATTCGGAACTAATGATGAAGGAGTTAAATCTGTCTACAAAACCGTAATTCAAGACGATATAACAATACCAACAAGAACAGAATTTTTATATCGTAGATCCATAGCCAGAAATAGAATTTTATGCTATGGCATCATAGAATATCCTAAGAGTTGTAACAGCCCGAAAAGAGTGCTAGTAGCTCAGCACTCGTCGACCTATCGAGAACTGTTATCACGGTGATTGTTATTAAGAAAGGTGAAGTGGTTGCAACAAGGTGAAGTGTACTTCGGTGACCAGCGTTGAACGAAACAGTAACACTGAAGAATCCGTCTTGAGAGAGCATTACATGGGAGTTATTGCAGAATGCACAATTAAGCGTGGAAGAGAGTAGTGCTGCAGAACGTATCACTCGAGAATTTCAAGATATTTTCTTGTCGTCTTCTGACGTAAGTCGGACTAGTTTGACACAGCATAGAATCGATACCGGGGATTACTCGCTAATTAAGCAACATCCAAGACGTCTACCGATGCTAAACAGGAAAAGGTAGGAAAACTTCTAAAGGACATGCAAGAAAGCGATGTCATCGAGCCTCCAGCAAGTTCACGGGCATCTCCCATCGTCCTGGTCAGAAAGAAAGTCGGGTTAACTAGATTTTACATTGACTATCGCTGGTTGAACGAGGTTACGAAGAAAGACAGCTACCCTCTTCCTGGAATTCACGATATTCTGGACACTCTTTCTGGAAGAAAGTGTTTTCCGACACTTTATTTAAAAAGTGGATATTGGCAGGTGGAGATACATCCTGATGACCGAGAAAAGACGGCATTTACTACCGGACAAAAACTTCGGCTGTTTAAGGTGATTTTGTTTGGATTATCTAATACGCCGACAACAATCGAACGCCTCATGGTGACTGTGTTGAGAGGTCTTTCCTATAAAGCCTCTCTGATATACCTGGACAACTTCATCATCGTCGGGAAAAGTTTTGAAGAACATCTAGAAAATTTTAGAAAGGTGCTTTAAAAACTGAAAGAAGACAATCTAAATTTAAAGTTCCGCCAAATGTAAATTATTCAGGCAGGAAGGGACTTACCTCAGACATGTCATCTCTGCGTAAGGTGTGTGTACGGATCCAGATAAAGTATTAGCAGTTAAAGACTGAAAATGTCCCGAAAATGTACATTAGCTGAAATGTTTCCTGGGGCTTTGCACCTACTATAGGAGATTCGTGAAGGACTTTTCTGTCATTGCACGACCCTTCACAACCTCACAGAGAGCAAACGAATGTTTTAGTGGACAAAGGAATGGCATTTAGCAACTTGAAGGAAGGTTTCACATCGGTTCAAATCCTGACGTATCCTCAGCTCGATAAACTATTTAATCTTGTCACGGATGCGAGCAATGAGAGTATCGGTGCTGTTTCGTCCCAAGAAATAAAGGGCCAAGGACGTGTCGTGGCCTACTGGAACAAGTGCCTATTTAAACCGACCGGAGAGGAATTACTGTGTCACCAGAAAAGTATTGCTGTCCATAGTTAAAGCCGTAGAACATTTCCATCATTATCTCTACGGCAGAAAGTTCCTACTGTGCACGGATCATGCATTGTTAACCTGCCATTTAAATTTCAAGAATCCTAAAAGCTAATTAGCCAGGTGGATACAGACTCTAGAAATATGACTTCACTATCCATCATCGGACGGAATCATCACACGGACACACCGACGCTCTGTCTAGAAGACCTTGCCCAGGAAGCTTCCAGGATCGAAGCGAAATACGAGCTGATATTTGATTTTAATTTTAATTTGTCGTGCGACACGCTCTGTCTAGAAGACCTTGCCCAGGAAGCTTCCAGGATCGAAGCGAAATACGAGCTGATATTTGATTTTAATTTTAATTTGTCGTGCGACCTTAATCCGGTTGCACAACAAATTAAAATTAAAATCAAATTTCCGGTATAAGACGCCGTTTCGAATGTGGAGTGAATCCCAGAGAGCCGAAGATTGTTTTGTCTTACAAC